ACTATTTCACTTATGAGCAGAAATTTTAATTTATACAGATCGATTCGTCCTCGAAAAAAAGTTACATGCTCTTAACACGCGATATCGAATTGCAAATATGTTTGCTTATTTAATAGAATAAGAATAACTGTTTATTATATTTTTCATAAAGAAATTCATTCACGTTCTATAGCCTTTTTGCTTTGGCATAATATGAAGATATTCAACGCTAGCAAAACTTCAACTGTTTCTATTTCAAAGATTAAAATTAATATTTTAAATATTTTATGAATCGTACATAGGCTTCGTTACTCCATCTTGACCAAAATGTCCCATTAAAATAAAAATAATTGTTTAGAATATAATGGGCGTGAAATGAGATAGGCAATAAAAATGTGATTATGGTAAGTCGTACTAATGTTTTAACTGGGTCTTTTTTACCTAAGTATCGCCGGTTACTTTTTTTGTCACTTATTTAGAACTGTTACAGATTTATCAAATAAACATGATTTAATAAATTATTACGATTGCATGTGCTGAGATTGTAACCAGAATCATAAATCTATTGTTTCATTGAGAGTATGTAATATAAAAAAATGAACATATTAAAACTAAATAACAATCTTTCATCACAAATGAAGGGCATCAATGTAATAATGAAGAAAGGACTCATTAAATACTGTTAGATATTTAGAATATTTTTTATTCTCAAAGTTAATCTATTTTGTGTTTATCTATTGTCTAATATTAATTTTCAATACATTAATTTTTTTCTAAATTTCTAAATAATAACTGTTATTTTACTAAAAGCAACTGTTACTAAAATGACTAGTGATACTTAAATAAAAAAAAGATCCTTTCAACTTACTGTTTTTATTAGCTTAATCTATTCAGTTTTAAATAAAATTAGTCTTAATAAATTACCTGCGAAAGCGTATATTTATGCATACTCAATAAAAATAGTGTGAATTTTACACCGATTTACTTGACAGATTTAGTTTCATTTTATTATTTTGAGGTGAACTAAAAGAATTCAATTTTAATTTTGTCTTCGGCTATAAGTTACTAGGTGTTGCTTCTTCCATTGCTGGAAGCACCATCATTTTTTAGGTTCTTCGTGTGAAACTTATGAAATCTCAGACTTGCACACCATGTCTAACAGACATTATTATGGACAGGACGTAGAAAACTGGAGTATTTTATACATTATTTTTTGTTTTAGCTTTAATTGTTCATCCAAATATCGGTAATTATAAAATAAAATAAAAGTTTACTTAATAATTTGACAAATCGTTAGTCAATTTTGATAATTATTATCTTAGTTATTAGTGAATTGGTTTGGTGTTGCCTTAGATATTTGCATTGAATCGCGTTATACATTTTTTTTTTTTTAATTCATCGCTTTATTATTTAGTATTATTATTATATATAGCATTTAGTATTAGTATTATTTATTATATAGCATCGCTTTATTATTATTTTTTAGTAACAGTATGAATGTAGTCTTAACTCATTATAATCATTGTTCACGTGACAGAATGTTACTACATTACTCAACAAATAAATCTCAATTTTAATCTCATAACTTCGGTTATCTGGTTGCCGGGCAACTCGCGGTGCTGTACACACGCGTTAGCCCATTCGGCCGCCCCTGAAAAAGTCGTAGGATTCGAACTCGTAATTGCTGAGAATCCTAAAACAAATACACAACTTAATCACTGTGTGAACTACGAACAATCTGATGTGAGACAAATTACTAATTACTGCAGCTTGTAAATGAGTTCTGTAAGAGAAGAAATTAATAGAATAAGAGTTGTAGAGTATCATATTCCATGTCAACTGAGTACCAACAGTTTCAATGTAGGCCAATTTCATCTCTCGAATCAGGGTTCGTTATTTCTTCATGAAATTCCGTTTCTTTTGATACCTCCTATCTTAAAATCCTTCGCTGCCGAAAGATGAAAAAGAGGCCTATAATGCATGTAACTAGACTCTTAGCAACAGGGGTGCCCATCCCGCCCAAGGTCAATGGCGCAAGAACCAACAACCCCCCTCCAAAGATATTTTATTAGTCACATTTTCTTAAAAACAAAGCAGGCTAAGATAGAATTAGAAAAAATGTAGATGATACACAATTAAATTTTCTGCGGTCTGATCCATGTTTTCGTCCGAAAATTCATGCCCTCGTCGAAATTTGCTCCCCTCAAAAATTAAAAAAAAACTGGAAACCCCCTTCACCATGGAACCCCCTTCTGGGCACCCTTGCCTAGCAAGAATAACCAATAGAATAACCACTATAATAGAAACCTATACTGTTGAAATATTTAAAATCACTAATATCTTCATTAGCAAGTTTCAGTTATTCGCTACCGATTTCGAGCGGAGTGAATCAATGAATTTCCCGTTTCGATCTTCAAGCTACTGACCTAATATTCTTTAAATAAGTCTCCAATTTTAAACATAGTAGTATCCAGCTAGCAGACTCATTATTTTAGTGTAAATGTTACAAATATACGAACAAAATACTTTCAGATAATGTCGATTTTTTAGCGCGGACCCTCGGACTATCACCTCACTTCACAAAATAAAATCTAACAGATGCTTTGTGTATTGAAAACATCGATCATTCTGTCATTTCTCATCTTCACTTCGTGTGGAAAAATCTATTTTGATCCGGAAAATATCAGATATTTACAATAAGCTCTTACTGTACACATGTCCTTCCTGATAACAAGTTGCAAAAGAGCCATCCCTCTTGCATTATTGTTTATCTATCGTCTGTGACCTTTTCAGCCGGTGTAATCAATATCAATTTATCAGTGCTTATTCTATATTTTCTGCGATTACGGAGGTCGTTGGTTTAATTCCGTCAATAGATTAGCTGAAATGTTCAATTTCTCCCTTTATTCCAACATCAGTGACCAATTGATTTAATAGTTACAAAACAAGTAGTGCCCAATTTTAATGTTTTTCATACTTCTTCATTAATCTAGAGAAAGCCATTAGCTTTCTGAATTTTTATAGAGAAATATAAATGAGTAAAAAATGGGTATTCAAACATAATAAAACCTGTTTTTACATATCATTTAAATCGTATAACTTTGTCTCATAAACTATTCAAGAATGTTTATTTTACTACTCTTTTAGTTACGCTTACCCCTACAAAAAAAAAAAGACAGAATGAAAAAAAAATCAGATAAAATAAATATAAAAAGAGAAAAACCTCTGATTGTATTAAGTTATATTACTATCCAAAATATACTCATTAGCAAATGAAGTTGATCATTCAAAATAAGATGAAAAAATTCTGAGTTCTTATTTAATGAATTTAATTTTTAAAAGGTAATTTACTTTTATATGTTTAAAATAATAATCAAGAAAATTTGCTTAGAGGAACAGTTTACAGTGGTTTTAGAAATTAAAAGGTAATTTAAAATTTTGAAAAAGATTATTACTTTTTGTTTTATTACCTTGTTGGTCCATCTCGAGCTTTAATTACTTCCTGAAGAGGCAAGGCAAACTTATTATTAGCTTTTTGATGCTATATTGAGGTATCGTCTTCCATTCCTCTTAGAGTTCTTTTTAAAGTTCATCTGAGTTTGTGGAAATGTATTCCGTCCTGAAATCCGTCTTTGAAGTTTATCCCACAAATATTCAATGTGATTTAGGTCTGGAGAGCAAGCAGGCCAATCCAGGCAGCGAATTTCTAGATTTTGAAAGAATGCATTGGTCTAGCTCTATAAGGTTGTCATCCACAAAAACGAATTCTAGGCCAATTATTTCTGCCATAGGTTGCACTATTGGTGCTAAGACTCTGTCCAAGTAACGCTGAGCAGTCGTAGTTTCATTTCGTAACACCACAAGCTCTGTTGGGAGCCCAGGATATATCACCGCACACTGTTATTGAGCCTCCTCTAAACAAGAAATCAGGAGAGATCAGGGAAGGATTGTATCACTCACCAGACCTTCTGGTAACTCTTGCTCGGTTTGAATTGTGATGCAGTACAAAACTGTGAAAAGACAACTATTCCAGACATGATAAGTCTTTTCTGGCCTCCATCATGTATTGTTATTGTATATTCAAAGGAAACTGCTGGGTCTCACAGTTCCTCACAGGGCATGGGGGTTGCGGAGCAAAGCTGGAATATAGTAAGAACATTGATCCCCTAAACCCAAGTTGCAGAGTATTGGACTGCTCAGCATATCGTCCTTCTCTGTACTGCCTTTGAGGCACTGAGGGCCAATGTGTTGAAGGAGAAGGAGCTTTACATTCTGACAGAGAGCGATCTTCCTGAACTAATGACTAAGGAGAACTACCCATACTATAAGGCCTTTGCATACGGGTGGAAGGAACTCTTTGGTTCACCTCACTTTTCATTTGGAAGAAGAGATGGGCCTGCATCCGGAAGGACGCCAGAGAGGATGCAATAATATGTCACCTGAAAAGGAAAACAGGCTGTGTGCTCAGCTGAAAAATAAAAAAATGTAATTGGTCTGAATGCAGCTGTGAGTTGTAAATCATGCGTTGCTACCCACTGCTGCTTAACCCCTGTATTGCCTTACCGGCAGGGTAGTGTTTAAATAAAATAAAATAATATTCCATCTAAAGTAGAAATGGCAGGTTAACTAAAGGTTACTATCCTTTTCTAAAACAGAATCACTAGGTCAAATTGTATTCCATGGGTTTCCTATAAAGTCTATTTCAAACCTCCCTGACAGAGTATACTTCTCACTCCCTGGTGAGAATAGTACCTACTTTTAGTATGAGCACCATGCACCATGACCACCCCTTTCATTATTTTACTAATTTATTATGAAGCCTGTTATTTTATTCAATTCTGTTTATCATTAAGAATCCTTCACAAGATGAACTACATAATCAAAATGCATATATTAATTATTAAAATTATATATATTATCTGTTTATCTCTATTATGAAATCTATATAGAAATTCAATTCAATTATATTTCATAAATTTTATTTATTCACCATGTAAAAGTGTATTTAATATTTCTTTTCTTTCTTTTTTTTTTCAGTGGTTTGATGTACAAGGGTGACTATTCTGTTAGGAGGGTACCAGAAGTTGTCGCCCATTCTGGGTATGCACTGATCCATTTTTACAGCGATGTAGCCTATAACATGTCAGGATTTAATATATCTTATAGGTGAGCTAACAATTTTCATTACTATGTTATCTATTCTTTGTTCTCAATATTCAATATAATGACTTATATGTAAGCTATTTATGTTTTTCATAAACTTATTTGTTAATGGCTTTTTATAAAATAAATTATAAATTACTCTAAAACTTGTCAAATACTTATGTATGTTCAAAGTTTTTTTTTTCATTGTCTAATCAATAAAGCCTAAAATGTATTGATATTGTTAAATTATATAAAAATCCATTCCTTCATTAATCAAATATATGTTTTCACTGTTAATTTTGTATGAATAGCTTTTGAATAAAATAAAATCAGTAAAAATATGCATTTCTTTTTAAAGCTTCTTTAATAAACGCTGACTATTTTTTTAATACTTTAAAATGCAAACTAAAATAAAAATTTATCTTACATTTAGTTACATTTTAAGAAAAATTATTTTTCCTCATTTAGAAAAACAAGTACTTTTGCCAACAAAATTAAAAGGCAATAGTCGTCACCTCATTATTTCGTTCTTGAATACTGTAATTAAGTTAAATTAATTACAACAATCATTGTTGCAAGAAAGATTCAATATTTTTTGTTTTTAATTTTTATCTAATGTGCATGTTGTGTAAGGTTTGTTGTAAAAATTGAACAGAAAAAATTCGTCATCATCATTAGCAATCATATCTTAAAAATTCGAATATTTGGAAAGATAGCACTTAATAATCCCGAATTAGTTGTTCTTATATATTCTGATTTGAATTTATTTTATTTATTAGTATAAATTGGACAGTGAAACTATATCATTCCTTTTTATTGTTGATCATTAAAAAAGATATTTTAATGCAATATTATAATAATTTAATGTGCTCAACGATGCAATAAGGGTATTGCACTAAAAATACTTTTTGATAATTAGTGTTTCTCTACTCTAATATTTTTATATTTTTAGGTTAAATTCCTGTCCAAGTCGTTTAGCTGGGCGGAACTGCTCTGGGAATGGGGTTTGCATAGATGGAGTTTGCACCTGCGATGCCATGTATACTGGTGAAGCATGTGATCTACTCATTTGTCCAAACAATTGTTCATATAGCAATGGAGAGTGTGCTAGGGACCAACATCGGTGCCTTTGTGGGCCAAAGTATAAAGGTAATTGCATATTCTTCTCTTGTAAGGCTTCTAAATCAAAATTCTAGAATCACCTCCAGGAGACTAAGGAAAATTTTAAAGGAATGTTTGTCAAAATTTTCAAGTAAAAAATATAGTGTTGCATGGTATAGTGCTCCTCCACAGAGTGTTGATAAAGTAAATTAATTAATGTGCTTAGGGGGAGGCCATATTGGGATAAAATATACACATTTATACAATATAAACAACTATACTGTCCATTGATCAAAAAGAGCAGAGAGAGATTTGATTGCTGTATATTTTTAATTTAATCCTAAAATTACAGAAAAACTAGGTGTAATGTTATTTCAAAGCAGAAAAATTCAATGTTATTTGTTTGTTGAGTTAGTTTACTATATCTTGGTTTTCAGATTAATTTATTTAAGTTTATTGTAAGCTTAGTTAATAAATATATCCATATGTATTTTATTGTATTACTTTTTATTCAACTGAAATAATTCTAATTTTCATATACTGGACATCTTTAATCTTGTTATTCACAGATATTATTTATCTCAAGTATACCTGTTTTGATTCAATTTAACAAACAACATTTACTGTCTATATATTACTCTGTTATATAATTCTTATCGTTTAGCCGTCGAATAGGCCAATACTTCAGAATTTTAAAATCTCATCCAATGTTTGCTTATAATTACTTATAAGATGTTACTCCTATAATATTTAATTTAAATTCTTTGTTCATGGAGTTTATCTTCAATATTTTAAATTTAAAAAAATGGTTTGTCATTTGTTTTCCTGGATTCTTTTAATCACTCCATTGTTAATTTGTTATCATTTAATAAGCATCATCCAAATAAATAGAAAATTAAATTTTGATTGGTTTGAAAAAAATCTTAAGTATAAATTGGTCATTGACCTTTTTTTAAACTCATTGAACATCATTCAAGAGAAAATATACTTCTACTATGTATATTATGAATAAATTTGTTTATTTATTTTCTAGGAGAAGATTGTTCTCAAGTAGGTGATTTAGGATATTGGGAAGTAATACGACCTCGTGGCATCCTTCCAAACGGGTCTGCTTCCCATACTGCTTCCGTCTGGCGGGACTCATTGCATATAATAGGTGGTGAATCATATGGAACTGCTGGCATGATTTATACTTACGACTTTACAGGTATTAAAAATTCATTGTGGTCATTTTAATATAAATATTAAACATTTTTATGATTGTTCTGTACAAAGATTTTTTATTTAATGGCTAACAATTTACACTTTTAATTAATAAATAAACAGTCATACTTATATATCTTGTATAATTTTGTGAGAAGACAAAATTCATTTTATTGTTGTGTAGCAAAAAATAAGCTTCCTTATTTTCAATTTGTTAACCACCTTCTTTTTGACAGCATGCATAAAGGATACCAATGCATAGATGGACATAATCATAATCAACGATTACTGATTACAGTAATTTTGATTATGTAATTAAAATTACAGTGATTTTGATTACATGATTGCAATCGTGATCAGGTTTTCGATTGAAGTTGTAATCAGATAATCAGTTTATTGTGTCACATTGTTGCGATATTTATAGTGTTATTGAATCAAGTATAAATTTAGCATGGTCATTAAGTTTGATTTTCACTTGTAATTATTTAATCATTGATTTTAATTTTGCCTATCTCTATTGCAACCCCATTCTCACACTTATATTTTGGTAATGCTCCTCTATTGAAAAATGAACATAACAGGATTTGATTCTGAATGGCTCATGTATTATCTAAATATCTTATAACATTTGAAAAATAAACGCAATATTTATTTCTGTTTGTTTAGTAGATGAAAAAATGTTTTCTATTACTTCATATTTTTTTTAAGTTAGCAGTAAGATTGTTCCTTATTAAATTGAGAATCATCGGTTGTGTACTAGTAGAAAATAAGTGCACCTGGCATAGTGTTAGTAATAATCTTTTTTTTTTCTTCAGGAAATGTTTGGGAGACATACCATTCAACAGACAGCAAAACTACCCCCACACCCCGATATGGTCATTCTGCTGTGATATTTGGGGTAATCTATTTATTTTAAATTACTTTGGTTGTTTTAAAATTATATTGTCAGTCTAATGTAAAACCAGGTAACTAATAATTTCAAAAATTTAAAAACTGAAGCAACATGCTAATATTTCTGTGCCATAAAATCATTTTTGTTTTTGGTTTACTGTATTTTAGTGGGAAAAAAAAAACTGTTTCATCTTTCACTCATTATTTTAGTAGAGATGGGTCTGAATTTATTTTAAAACTCTAAAGCTGTAATAAAGCACTTGCTCAGAAAGAATGTCAAAAGGTTAATCAAATATATGATGAAAGGCCAAAGCCATGTTTGCATTTTTTCATATATATTTTTATACTATGCTAGTATTATAATTCAGCAAAACTACCCCCACAGTTATTATTAGTTATTTATTAACAAATAATAATTTTTGAATAACCTTGAATTGTTGTAATCTAAAAAAATCTGATGCACGCAACACACAACTGTCTCTTACTGTTCTACTTGAATTTAAATTATTTGCTGGCAATGTTGGTTTATTATAAATTGTTTGAAGTGCATTTTTAATCAAGCTAAAACTTAAAGCTTACAGTTAACAAATCATTTATACCATTAACATAACAAAAATCCTTCGATAGTTGATTATGGATTGTACGACTATTAATTATTAAACTGTTATTTTTCCATTGCCAAGTTTACTAAAATGGAATTACGAGATTTACATTGCCTGTGCGTGTGTATCACCATTGATATAAAACCTGTACATCATATCTATAACTGCTATACTTGGTATCCATAGACCTTTAGTAAAATATAATAAAAATCTATTTGAATGATAAATTTAACACATTTGTCAATTTTACATTAAGTAGAACGAGGGGTTGTGATTCTAAATATGTACCATTAATTTCATTTGGTGAAACGTGTAGGGTATGCTCCCTTTTGCAACAATCAAAATGAGTGATTATGAATTAAAAATGAAAAATGTACCTAAAGGACAAACAAATATGTAAAAATATCTTCCTGAAAATGAGCTACATACATGGGATTTAACATTTAGTGTGTTTATTACAATAGTTACAGCATCTGGCCAAAGTAATCCAAAAAAAAATTATATTTTATAAATGGAGCTTTCATAGGAACTGTCTAAATGCATTTTTAAAAAAAGTCAAAATCTCAACTATTTGTTTTTTCCAATTACCCAAGTTTTTGATCATTTTCATTGATCAGCCTAATCTAAATCTGTGATTGAAATTAGTTTTTATGAAAAGTTTTATTTATCAGGATAGACATTAATATATACTACTAATCTATTATAATATAATACAATATATTATATTATTATATAATATAATATATTATATTGTATTATAATATAAATTACATCTATCAATTGTTAATTTTTACTTTTACAGGACAAAATATACATATATGGTGGTGTAAAGAGCGGTGGAGTTGTTTGTAATGAATTGTGGGCCTTTGATGTAAGTGCTAAATCATGGGAAAACATAACTGTTCGAGCTGAACCTTGCAATTCCAGCTCATTGTGTGGTGAGTATTGTTCCTGATTTTGATTAATCTTGATAATCATTGAACCAATATATCATATAATAACACTTATCAAAGTTTCATTAATTTAGTAGCTGTTCCTTGAAATTTATATTATACAAACTTGTTTTATATACGTGATGGGCACTTGGCTAAGTGCTTTCTGATCAATTTAATAACATCCACAATTTGTGCTGATAAATGAAATTAATGACTAAAAAAGAACTGACTTGACAGAAAGGGTCTAAAGTTGCATTGGTTTTGTATTAACAAAGATTTATTCAAACACAATATGTTTTAAAATATTTGAAGAAAAGAGCATTTATGGAGAAATATCTCACCAAATGAAATGTACACAAGAGTACATCAGTCATACTGTAGATGAAACTCTGAGCCAAATTTGTATGAAAGCCTATATGTAAGATTTATATATCAGCTTTAAAAAGTTAACTCTAACTACAGTGAAACATCTCCACATTGGACAGCTACGGTTCTGATAGACTCTGTCCATTGCAGTGAAATGTCCAATATGAAGAGGTATTTGCCTGTTAAAAAATGCCTTGTTGGAATTATCTAGGTATCAAAATTATTGTATTAATTTTGTATTATATTCATACACATATTTTTAAAAGTTATTTCTATTAACAAAGACATTTAAAAAACAGAAGATAGATTTTATGAACACAATTTATTAACTTGAGTATTTACTTAACTAATTAGATCAGAGAAAAATTAGAAATTATCAAAACTATTTATTTTCTGTCTCTTCCTATTTTTTTTCTATTTTGTTAATTAAATTCTGCAAATAAAACTTTTTTTGTGATTGAAATGTAATATTCCTACTTTTTCTTTTATTGTAAGAAATTTATTCTGTTGTGATTCTTAAAGTTTAAAGTTTAAATTGAAAGAACTTAAATGACTGAGGCATGTTAGGATGTTAGGTTTTAAGCAAAGTATGATGAGCAGAGAAGGGATTTCTATGGAAACTGCTTACAGGCTAAGATAATGCAAAATGCAATACTTAATGATAATTAACTTAATCTTATTCAAATGCTGCTTTCAGAATTATACCTACAGTGTGATTAATATAATCTTGTGCTCGGCCACTATAAGTTCAGCTGTGCATAAGTACTAAGAAAACTTGTGATATAAACATTACTTCTGTATAAAAAAAAATATATATTTCTGTCTACCTGTGCTATATACAGGTGGGCTCCACAATCTGACCTAGCAATGCATATTGTTGTTTGATAAAAAAAAAAACAGTCAAACAATTAACAGTTAAACAAAAAATCAAACAGTTAAACAATCCTTATTTATTTTTATTTTTTTCAAGTCTCTTATTTGAAGTTTGTTTATTTCATTTTATTTGAAATAATATTAAAAAAAGAGAGTTTAATGGTCATGGGGCTGATAAATGTTTTGAGTTGTTAAGATAATCCTTAGCTATTTATACTATTAATAAGTAGCTATTTATACTATTAACTTCAACAGAAGCTGTGCCCATTTAACACCAAAAAACTTTTGCTTCTGACATAAATCACCAAGAAAGATTAAATCAACTGGAGCCTATTAACTAACATATTAATCCATAAAATTAAATATTTTTTATTAATTAGCTATTTGTATCTTGGCTGTAAGATCTATAAAGAAAAAAAAAATGAAAATATCTTATTCTTTATGTTCTTTTTTCATCTAAATTTTATATCTCCCTATTTATTTATTGCATTACAAATTTTTAAACTTCATTTTTGTGCCGTTCAATGTTGTTTCACATCTAATCTGATCGTATCTAAAATCAAACAATAGTTTAGAAATTCCTATTTATAGATATAGATATGGTATTTTTTAACAGGTCCCTTGAAGTCTGCTGGTCATACTGCAACGCTAGTCACAAGTAAAAGAAGCATTGAAAAAATGATTGTCATTTTTGGTCATTCTCCTACTTATGGCTACCTTAATACTGTTCAAGAATACCACTTTGGTAATTTTTATTTTCTTAATTGTTTAAATATTATATTTTATCTGTAATAAAAAATTGTATATGTGTTTATATAATACCATGTTTCCATTATTTCATATAAAGCTGATATCTATTTGTTAGGAACACGCGAATGGAGCATTGTGAAAACTCATGGCTTTCCAGTGAAGGCCAGGTATGGTCATTCTGCTGCTTGGGACCCACTGACAGAACAAATCTACGTATATGGCGGCTATACATCAGAGGCTCCTGCTTCTCCGCTCCTGTCGAATAGGCTATACTCATATAATCCTTCAAGAAGGGAATGGTCAGTATTATATTGTCATATACACTTCTTTAATTTATTTATTAATCATAACATTACACAATAGATTCTTTGAAATAAAAATTGCAAATTAAGTCAACATAATTAATTTAGTATAAATTTATAGTGTGTTAACTCCCTCTTAGTTTATGTCAAACTTCGAATGAAGCCTAACTATTTAATTGTGATTTAGTAAAAGAAAAAAAAAATGAAAGTGGACTGTATCTTCAAACATTTATTTTGGAACTTTTGCGAAATCTAATATTGAAAACATAAAAACAAAATGAATCAATTTTACACTTGTTAGATAGGTTTAAAAAAATAACAAACTTCTAGCATAAAATAAAGTAACCAGCTGAACAAACAATTGTGACAATATTAATGAAATATTTTCATGCTTGATCATAAAAGAAAAAACTATTTCTATGGCCCAAATTACAATAAAAAAAAAAAAAAAAAAAACTTGTCTAGAGTCCCAATATGAAATTTATATATATATATATAACAAATAATTAGATTATACAACGTTACGTGGGCGAAGCAGTACGTTCGTAAACCTCTGTCTCTATGCAGAAACCAATTGTAATTCTTCGATGAGCATGCTCAAAACGAACTGCAAATGGGCAGCGGCGAGCACGATGAGAGAAGTACATCTCTTCACAGTAGAACTGCAGTGGGCAGTGTTGAAGTTGGCAATACTTAGCTCAGTAACGGATGGAGTCAGACTGTATATTATCAATTCTACCGCCTTATGACTTGAACTTAGCACTTGTTTATAGTTAGTGCTACAATCCATAACAAAGTAGTCCAAGTATAAACTATTGATCTATTTAATATAAGCAGTATAAGCTATGGGCCTATAATACTTAATATACACATATCTTATACATATTATTAATTGATTTCACTTTGCTAAAATAAAACAAATCAACAATTAATCAAACTAGTTAAGTGTAAAATAAAATGAATTAACACTGTGGCGTTTTTAACTGTAAAAATAAAATAAATTAACGCTGTGACGTTAACACATAGACTTATAAAAACAATAAACATTACAAAAATTTATTGATGAAGTTAGTTAAAGTTTCTTATAATTGATTTATTTAATTCAATCATTTTAACATATTATATTATATATTCAGTTTGTTTTTTAATTGCATGTTATAGTTGTTCTCTTTGTATACTTTTTACCCTATAAGTTTAACAATTTATTTTATCTTTTATTATTTTATTTTACCTGTTCGACATATAGGATAAAAAGTTGTATAAATAGAATGACTAAATTAAGATAATATTACAACTTGGTGATGAAAATATTACAACTTTATGTCTTAAAAGTAAAAAAAAAAATTGTTTTATGACAATTGGACTTGCCTACATCTCTTTAATTTATTTTAACCTTCAAGGACTCTGCTCAGTTCAGCCCCGTCAGCTCGATTTCTCCACTCAGCTACATTCCTTGATGGTTTGATGATTGTGTTCGGTGGAAATGCACATAATGATACCTCCTCATCATCAGGAGCAAAATGTTATTCTGCAGAGGCTCTTACTTACGATGTTGCTTGTGACTCTTGGGCGACTCTTCAACTTCCAACTCAGCTAAGGGCAGACATTGCCAGGTTTGGTCACTCATCAGCTGTGTTTAATTCATCCTTATATATCTATGGAGGGTTCAATGGGCAAATGCTGAATGACATTTTGAAGTAAGTTTCTAACCAATATAAAAAAAAATTTATTAGTATGGAAACCAACAAAAATCATTAGATTTATTTTATCTATAATTTTAAAATACTAGCTTACAACCATCAGAATATAAATCCTATTATTCCCTACCTTCTTGTACAATTGAATCTTTATACAGCTCATAGAATCCTGTTTTCACTTTTCCCATTCCTTTCGTCTTTTCTTTAATATAAATTGACAGTCTGTTTATTATTGTATAATAGTACTACAGATGATAATGATCTATGATGTTATTTTTACCTATTTAGTCAGTAAGGGCTATATACACATACTAAATTGATATGAAGCCACTCAATTGTTGAATGTTGAACATATATTGAAGAGAAGTTGGTTGGGTTTTCAGTCAATGAAAGTTAAAAATTAAATAATTAAGGAATTATTTTATTTCCTTTGCGGGAACATTTCGGCCCTAAGTTTCAGCCCTTCATCAGTGCTGCTCACTCAAAGGATATCGGATGAGTTTATTTTGTACTTTTATTGACTGAAACCCCAACCTACTTCTCTTCAATATTTAGGTTTTTTTTAATTCTAACAATTTTTTTTTAATCTGTTGTTTGATATTAATGCCTATTGTGATCTTTACAATTTCTACCTGTACTTTCTCCTTACACTACTCTCATAATTTATTTTCTGAACATGACTTTGTATATTTCATTTATTTAACAATTACTGATATAATTGTCACATTTTTAAATAAGTTATATTGAACCACCTTTTGCTTAGGTACACTGGTGGAAGTTGTTACAACCTTACACTTCCCATGTGCCTCAACACTCGCCCTGGAGTCAAATGTGTTTGGGAGAAGAAAATCAGGCAATGTGTTCCGATCACTGAAGTTTCTAAGGCAATCCTAGTTGACACACACTGGGATAAGGATGAAGCTTATTATGTGTATGTTTTGAATTAATATAATATATGTATGTGTGTTTTTAATGCTAATATGCCATTACTCATTTTAAAAATATGTTCCATTTGTTATCTTTAGTGAAATTTTTATATGGTACCATTAAGAAATTTAATATGTATGTATAAAGATTGATTTATTAAGTTTAGAATTCACTTTTTTATTCATTATAACCTGTAATGAACTATTTTTACACTTATAGTCTTGAAATTTTCTATTAAGGGCAGAATTCTAATATGAATATTATACATTGGCTAGAAATATGTTTCTAATTATTCCATCTAGTACATATTATCACTAATTTTTTCATCAGTTTGTGAAAAAGCTTCTTTAGACATATGCATTAATCGTATTCAAAGTATTATTTCTTACAAAATTTTGGAACAATAATTGAAATTACTGTCAATGAGCCCCAATTGTCCTATCCTGTTCTCTAGAATGATATTGTTTCTACTTAATAAGCTGTTACCCTTTAAAATTTTTAATATATGTTTTTCTTTTTTGGTTGTCTCTAAACATCTTGTAAGTCTTTATCCAGCTGAACCAGCCTTCATCTTTACTTTCCAGCTTACTGCATGCAGATCTGCTGCATCTTTGTTGATTTTATATATCCATCTGATTTTTATGGATATATAAAATCACTTCTTTATGGTATCTTGCTAGCTACTCTAGCATTCATTAAAAGTGTAGAAGTGTCTCAATATGGCTTGCTTCAAGCTGCATGCCCACCTCTCCCTCCCATCTTAACCTCTTTGGCTTCATATTGTGATATTTAGATTGACCAGTTTCTGTATACCATCCTTTATGATTTCCATCCATGCATTTCTATTGTGTATTTTATTTTATCTTCATCTATGAACATCCAGCTCATTCTTCCAAAGACAGTTTTTGTTCTCAGAATCATAGGCTGTCCTGAAATTGACAAATAAGGCATGAATTCTACTACTAAATAGGCTATGTGATCTACTTTCCACTGTTCTTTAGGTACTTGTTGTAGGTTGAAGATCTAGTCTATTTTTTTCCTTTCTCTTCTGAATCCTGCTTGGTGGTTGCCTATTATATTTTAATAATACCAATACATTTAATTGAGCAGGATATTAGTGTTTATCTTGTTGGCAACTAGCAGAAATACAGTGGGCAAAAAAAGTATTCGTACACCGAATTTTGGCCAAAATGGTTCACTATATTTTCTTTAACTTGAAATAATGGTAGATATCAATTATAAACTTCCTTTTGTGTTAATTTTATGTAATGCTAAAATTTAAAATCTTATACAACTTTCATAACATTAATCTTTCGATAATCTGTACAAAAAAAAAGTAATCATACACTAGAAAAAGTATTAATAATACAATAATTTTTGTGATCAAAACAGTGATATAAAGTTCTATCAATAATCCTTTACTCCAGAGAATTAAACGATAAAACTGCTCAAGAAATCGTTTGTTCAGTTCAGTACTAAGGAATATTTCTTATGTCCAAAGAATTTCTTATGTTGAGTTCTCGTCTTATAGATGGCATTTTAAAACATATTCAACAGGATTTAAATTTGCAGAATATTGGAAAAAGTTCGGAATACCTCATACTACAGCGCATTACATTATTAAAAAAATTAAAAATGGATCAGTGGAAAATAAACACTGTCCAGGGAGAAAACGCTTGTTGACAGTGTGAGAATCTCGTGAAATAGTACGTACAGTGAAAAAAACTCCCCAAATTAAGTGCTCGAGAGATTTCAGCTTACATCGTGTTAGCTTATGGGAAATCTTTCACCTCAAACCTTGAGGAATCGGCTACATGAAGCTGGCTAAAGAGCTAGAGCAATTAGAAAAAAACCTTTTATGAAGGGAAAAGACAGAAAAATAAGACTGGATTTTGCCCGAGAACATCTAAATAAACTACACATTTTGGGCAAATGTATTGTTTTCAGATGAAAGCAAATGTAATATATTTGGATCTGACAGAAAGAAATGTGTTTGGGAGAATAAAGGAAAGTCATTTGTACTCCAAAATCTACAACTCCCAGTGAAGCACAGAGGTGGTAGTGTCATGGTTTGGGGCTGTATGAGTGCCAAAGGAGTTGGTGAACTAGCCTTTATTGATGAGATTATGAGTGCTGACAAATATGTGGATGTGTTGAGATGCAATTCAAATAAAAGTGTGCAAAAGTTAGGAATGGAGGACACATATATATTTCAGCAGGGCAACGATACCAAGCACACATTCAATAAAACCAAAGAATGGCTGCTATTATAATGTTCGCAAAATGCTCAAAACACCTCCACAATCAACAAATCTTAATCCATTTGAAAATTTATGGGTGCTGCTGGAATTTAAAATCTAAAAATATTCTTGTTCCTCTTGGAATGACTTAATAAACAGTCTTAAAAAGGCTTGGGAAGAAATTGGACCAGAGGACACAATGAGGCTAGTGGAATCGATGCCAAGAAGACTTAATGTTGTGATAAAAGTGAAAGGGCACCCAAAAAAATACTAAAATTAATTGAGACTGATATTTATTATATTTTCTTTGGGTTAGTTAAAGGTACAGATTTTACTTTTTTGTACAATTAATGCAAAATGAAATTTCCAATTTTTATCTATAGTTGCTTCATTTTGAAAACATAAATAAAAAGATTTTTGACTAAAAAAAAATATGGTGTACGAATACTTTTTTTGACCATTGTATACCTCTGTAATTATTGCAATCTTACTTCTAAGACAGATTAGATCTCTGTTTGAGGTTGTGATGACTGAGGGTTGCCTGTTTTAAAATTCTCAAGCCTTGCGACACCAGTTGAAATTTATTTCATGGCAGACCCACTGAGTGAATCTTGACTTTCCCACCCTGGGTAGAATAAGTTTGATTGGACCTCTTGAACAACTCTCCTTATTCCTTTGTTTGTGTTTTTCCTGGTGGCTTTGCACTTTTCCTGAGTAAGTTGATTTTTATTTAAGCTAGATAAAGGCCTTTTTTTTTTCTATCTCCCTCTCGGTCCTTATGTTTTAGGCTGTCCAGGATCTTTATTTTGGATAATCTCCAATAATGGGCTTAAAGTGGGGTTCATAGCCTATCTTTATGGCCTAGAATAGGCCACTTTATTTTATTTTATAAGTATTTATAAAAGTGTTTTTCATTCTTCCAGCCGATGCCCAGGTGAAAGGAGGTCGAGTATTGCAGCAAACATCATGGCTTGCTCTCAGCTTGAAGACTGTGTTTCGTGTGTCCACACGTCTTTGGGATGTGGTTGGTGTCCTCATGCAAACGTTTGCTCTCATGACATTGTTTGTAAAAAACCTGTGCCCAACAGTCAAGCATTTACCACTGAAAGAGTAAGAAAATCTTCCATAATTTTTATACAATTTGTTGTGATTTGCCCTATCCAATAAAAAATAAATAAAAATAACTTTATAGAATCCATCTATTATAACTACTTACTTTTTAAAATTATTTTAAATGTTTTCCAGATGAATTATTTAATTTAAAAATAATAATAATCATGAATGACAAGACCAGCTTGAATAACATCAATTATTTTATTACTCTTATTTATTTTATTATTGTTATCAATCTCACCTTAATTCATTATTTTAAAGTAATAGTGATTCTTTTTAAACATGTATATTTCATAATTCTTTTTTTCATTTTGGTTTGGTATTAAACTTTACTCTGTAATATTAAGCCTTAAAAATAGTAATTATTGCAACAATATTAACTTGAATATTATTTTACTTTATAGATAATAACTTATTTTTGTGTCTAAAGGCAGTTACTCTTGGTTCTGAGTGTCCTGTTGTAAAGGGAGCATCATGTCATGTCTACCACAGCTGTCAAACTTGTTCTGTTCAACCTGATTGCGTTTGGACCACTTATGAGCATTGCGTTGCAAATGATTCTTTGGTGGAAGGCCCGGTATGTAAACTTTTATAAACAGGAAGTTGATTATCCTAACTAGCTCGAGATTTTTTCATTTGGTTTATCGATTTGTTTGAATTTTAGGATATGATATTTATAATATATTTTTTATTTAAACTTTATTATCTTATTTCTAATGATGGTGTTTTTTTTGTTATTTCCTCATTTATCAGGAGCAACCTGTTCAGAAATGTGGTCCTATATGTTCAGAACTCAATTCTTGCCTGAATTGTACGAATGAAGAGTGTATTTGGTGTCATAATGAAGGTAGATGCGTCGACAAAACAGCATACACTGCCAGCTTCCCTTATGGCCAGTGCAGGGAATGGACTACAATCCGAAACAGATGTCCAGTCTCCCCAGGTAATTACAGTTCTTTTATTATGTCATATTCTGAAGTAGATTTAGAGGCATGGTTATCATCGAGTAACTGACATCAAAATTCATTATTTTGATGGTATTATTATTATTATCATCTTATAAAGAGAATATAGTCTACATTGAATAGACCGTAAAACAACCTTTCCTTTGAAGTTTAAAGTTTTCTAAGTTCATTTTTAATCATAATATTAATAATTTAATAAAGTTGCTGACTCCCTGAAGCAAAAGAGTGATCTATTTAGAGACTGCATTCTAGCAAAAGACCATTGGGCTTCCAAGTGATACTTATATTAGTTTTAAAGTCAGTTTCTTTTTCTTTCACTTTGATAGGTTTTTTCGTAGAAATATTAAATTATTCACTATAAAGAATAATTGCATTAGACAAATATTACCATTCTACATTTCCTTATTAAAATTATTTTATTATCACATTCAAAACAGAATTTTACAATATACCGTAATTTTTAGGTATATTATGTCAAATTAGAATTTGTTGATTAAAGCTGTTGCTTTCATTGCAGGTGAATCAGCCTGCATGTCTCATAAGTGGTGTTCCGAATGTAGGGATGCTCCGGAATGTGGATGGTGCGATGATGGAACAGGCACTGGTAAGTTTTAAAATTCTTCCTTGTTGCTTAATATTGAGAAGAGAATAAATTCTAATTCAAGTTTATCCAAATGAATAATCAATCTAATTTATCATGGTTTTTATTTATTTTCATAGGAAAAGGAGTATGTTTGCAAGGTGGTAATAATCCTCCTTCTAGCTGCCCTAAGAAGCATTGGTACTTCACGCATTGTCCAAGTGAGTATATTTCTATATTTTGTATAAGTTTTTGTTTCAAATATCTACATCTAACGGGTATATTTAAGAGCGGTTACTATCCAACATGCCAATGCCTGAATGATCCAAGATTGCCTTCAAGTGCATAAGATTCGAGAAACGAAGAAGAATTAGTTTAGGATTTCAATATACAAATAATGGAGCTAACTCTTTACTCTTTGGTCGATTAATAAAGATCACGCTCGTGATCTAATAAAGTTTTTGAATGACATAAAAGCAGTTATATAATAAAAGTCGCCTTTTATTCTCATTTAATTGTTATGAAACTACTGTTACATCATTTTTAATTATTAATGGTTCAAGTTCTATTTAAGTTACATTCAATAATCATAAATCCAGAAATATTCAATAAATATCCAGTTTAGTTTCATTTTACAGTGACAATTTACTGTATATTAACTTAAATATTTTATTGGCAAAATAGGACTTGCTTTGACAAGTCTTAAAGCTAAAAAAGAACAAATAAAAAAATATTTGTTCAATAATTTTAAATGCTTAATTTTTTTTAAACAATTTTTATTCAATGACAAATGAATCTGAGAAAGCTGTTTGAAAATTTGTTGTTAATGTTATTATTTTTTTTTTTTTTTTTTATGGTGCATTTCTGTCTGGGCATCAGATAAATTGAATGTACGATTGGAAATTTCATCCCTTCGGTCTTTTGATTTCGAATTGTGAATATCCTAACTTAAAAATATGTAAGAACTGATTTTATATATAATTATTAAATTACTCACAGGCTGCCAGTGTAATGGTCACAGTACCTGTGTGAACAACAGCAGTGTTTGCGTCCAGCCCTGTGGTAACTTAACTTCTGGGGACCACTGCGAAACTTGTATCCCTGGATATTATGGCAACCCAGTTAATGGAGGAAACTGTACACGTAAGAATCAAATCTTAACATTTGTATGTTGATATTGAACTTGGAGTTTAATTTTTTATTTTTCAAACCTAAGAAGCCAATCTAGACTTCAGTTTAGTTTTTTAATAAAAAGGTCAAGTTAAACTAGAACCTGAATTTAAAACATACCAATAATCTTTTTTAAGGCTAAGTTCAATTCCTGTCTCTGTGATGATGGTGCTTGTTTCAATGTTAAAATTATTAAAATCTATTTTATAGGCTGTGAATGTAACAACCACGGAAGCCATTGTTTCCCTGATACTGGTAAATGCTACTGTACAACAAAAGGTATTATTGGAGATCATTGTGAGAAGTGTGATACTCAAAATCATTATCATGGAGATCCTACCAATCATGGCTCCTGCTTCTGTAAGTAAAAGTCATATTTAATATTTTTAACCTTATATGTTTTCCGTTGTTCTATTATTTCCTCCAGATGTCTCGCCTTAACTATTAATTTTTTTTTTTTATACAGATGACCTAACTATTGACTACCAGTTTACGTTTAACTTATCAAAAAAAGATGATCGCCATTACACGCAGATTAACTTTAAAAATAGTCCACCCAAGGCTGATATTGATGCTGATTTCAGTATTACATGTTCTGTTTTAGCTAAAATGAACATTACTATTAAAACTGGTAGGTGTTATTAATAATTAATTAATCACAAATATGTTATGAACTTTAATGCTTAATATATTGTTGGATTTAACATAGCTACAACCAAAGATATTAGTTTTTATGAAAGGATAAATATATCTTGATTATATAAAATTTTAAAAGATGAAAAAGAAAAAAAAGAGGATGCTATTAATATTTTTTTTTCTAATTTGCAGTTAACCAGCCTGAGAAGCCTCTTTTGACAGGTCATAACTGTTCTAATTTCAGAACGAGGTTTAACAAGAATGATCACAGCTTTGGTGTTGTAGACAATGTGACCTTGACAACATTTTTCGTTTATGTCTATGACTTTCAGACCCCTCTGTGGATTCAAATATCATTTTCACAGTATCCTAAGTTAAACCTCCAGCAGTTCTTCATTACTTTCTCATCGTAAGTTATGACCGATATTTGCTAATGGTATTTGAAATTTTAATATAACTGTTCTTAACACTTCTTGTTCTAAACCATTTTCAAAATGTAGTTCAGGTGTTCAATCTATCCAAAAAAGATAAAAAATTGTTCCTCAACTCCTCGATTATTTCAGTAAACATTTCTTTGATTTTTTTTTTATTTCCTTTTTTCTTGTTAATCATTTTACTTACACTTTAAAAATCTAGAAGAATTATGCAATGAAATTTAATTAAGGCCATAATATTTCCCTACAAAACTACAACTAGAATTTTATCAATAATCAAAATTTATCTTCCTTAATATTATCATATGCAGTTCTTCTGCATGTTTAAAATAGATAACAAGAAAAAAAATTCTGGTAAAATTCTTTTGTCAAAAACTGTAAAATTATAGACTGTATGGCTGCATTAGATTTTTAAAAATAAAAAATCAATGATTATAATCATTCTCTTATAGTTGAGAACAAACAATGTCAAATTGAAGAATCTTGTTTGTTTTTTATGAAGTAAGTTGTGTTTCTTTGATTTGTGTGATTTTAGTTTGGTTATTTACTATTATTACCATTTTACAGTTTTAAGGTGTATTTTTATGTGAATATATTGTGGAGTGGAATTGATAATAGCTTACTAGTTTATATTGTTTGCTGATGATTTTTTTAAAATTTTCATTGTTTTGTTTTATTTCTCCTGTGATTTTTCACTTATTATTTTCTATTCACAAATGAATTGTGATGAAGAATTTCTCTTTCTACTAAAACGTTGATTGATAAATATGAAACTTGTTATAATTAATAAAATTTTCTAAATCATGACCGACCTGGAAAAATGCGAAAAGTCAAGGAATTTCCAAAACAGAGAAAAGTCAAGGAATTTATTGGTGCGTAAATATTTTTTTCAAATTGGAAATAAATATACAGTGGATATTGTTTGTAATGACCTTGAAGGAGTAAATTTAATCGTTATAAACGACCACAGTTGCTATATTCATCCGCCTTTTGACTGTCAATAACAGCACTGGTCGTTATATTGTAATCAAATTAATTAATGCATAAATTGTAAGCAAAAAGGAATTAAAACAGTGCCATTTTGAAGAGAAAAACATAGCAATACTATTTACTATTTGTAATATACACATCTCGATCCAGATATGATTAGCAAGCACTCATTCATTAGACACGTGGTGCTCCTTAAAAGAGCATTTATTAACTAGTAATGTCGCAGTTGGTGTCATATGGGTAATTATTATGCTGTTTTAGTAATAAAGAAACTAAAGTACTTATGAGAAACTAAATTAATATGAGAATCCCCCGTAACTAACTTTATTTTAAAATAGAGAAAATCAGTATTCATTATACATTAGGTATCAAGTTTTACCTCCTCTCACTTTATGAAAATAAAATAAAAGTGATAATAAATTACTAAAAGTTTACTTTTCTGATATAAAAAATCTTAATCAAGCTTAACAAACGCATCCTCTTAAACATTATGTTTGTTATTTAAAAGTGATATTTTTTTTTTTTAAATCCAATCATTGTGTAGTCAATTTTCTTTCATGTTTAATAAATAAATTTAGTTTTAAATTATACGTTTTTAATATTTGTGTCTCCAGACATATTGGTCAGGGAAAACTATCATTAAATAGAGAAAAGTCAGGGAATTTTTACTTTAACTGTCTTATAGCCACCCTGATTAACATTAAGTTATGTTTTTATTATTTTATATTGGTTAATTATTGAAATTATTAACAGAACATTGTTTTTTTTCTGTTTGTTTTTTTGTCTACTCATAGATAGCTTTAATTGCAAATTTTTATTTGATTTAAAAATGATCTATTTTCTGTTTATATTTACTTGCTATTGTTAAAATTTGCCTTAATACCAGTGAATTTTTATTGCAATGTGCTATATAGTAAGAATCCTTTTTTAAAGTTTACAGTAAACTTTATATAATTTTCAATTTTCATTCTTTACTTATGCATTTTTCGTCTGAACTTTTTGTAATTTTTGTATTCTTTTTTCACCTAAACTAACTTTTTTCATCAATTCAAAACAAAACCTACTGATGACTAAAAATATTCTTTCATTCATTTTTAAATAAATTGTTTATAGAACCATAAAAATTTTGAAGTTTTTACCAGGGAATAAAACTTTTTAGGAAAAATTTCTTAAAATAAAAGTTCTAAAGAACTTTTTTGTAATACAGTTCTAGGTTAATGGTGAAAGTTTTACTTTTATTTATTTAGTTCTTAAAAAGAGTTATATTAAATGAGAATTAAACAGGAATTGGGCTTATATTAGAGTTATAATTTATCTTGAATTAATAAACATGATTCTAATGTGATGTTTGTTTGAGTACCATAGAATAAATGTCATTGTTTAGATTGACTTTTTACAAAATCGATTGAACTTTTAAATAAACGTTCTGTAAAATCTTTATTTGGAAAAGCTCAAGGAGAAAGGTTCTAGTTCAAAAATAAATTGTTTTTTTTTATTTTAAATGTCTGTAATGAGTCAACCAAAAATTTTGATCCAGTTCATGAACTTATGAAAGAAAACAAATACAAAAGACCCTTGTTTTATATTTCCTCCTTTTATTTTTTACAGTCAATTGTAATTTGACACGGATATATTGAACAATATTTATAGATAGTGAAAATAATGATGGTTGATATATAAAACCATTATTGGATGATGATGTATTCACTAGTTTCAAAACATCTTCATACTTTTTTTTTTAAAAGTCTATTAAGATTTATATTATAGAAATATTTTGTATGCTCAGACTTGATGTATTCAAATTATAGTTGAATATGAACATCTTACTAATACTTAAATGAAGCTAGGGAGATCATTAAAAATATATTATTAAATGATAGTTCAGAAGTGGTATATTTTATGGAAGATAAGAAATATATTGGATATTACTTTTTCAAACTTTATTATCTTCTATTGAAACAATTGTATGCATTATTATTTTTGTTTCACTGCCTCGGCACGTAATAAGCCAAAAAAAAAAAAAGTATGTGGAAAATAATTCTGATTGATCCTTTATTTTAATTCAATTAAGTCCGACATTGGTCATTCTTTTATTTTATCTAACTGCATTATAATGTAATATTGTTATTATATTTCTTAAAAATAAATTGTTTGTGAAAGAATCACCAATATACTTTTTATTCCCCATAGCACTTCTTTAAAATTTTTGTAATATATATTTTTCAAGAACCTCCATTGTTTTTATTTTAACATCACTCATCTGCTATACGTTTATGCTTTAATATAAAATAATTTGTCTACAACACCTATTCTTTAGTATAAAAGAAGGTTTCTGTATTATGTTTGGATTATGGATTGAAAGAAATATTTATTTCTATTACCACAATGCATGCGTACCTTGTGTTTATTAAATTAGAGACTCATTAATATAAATTTTATTTATAGCTTTCCGTATTTTTATTATTTCTTTGTTTAGGTTGTTTTTGAATAAGCACTTCATACAAATGATAATATTATTTATTTATTTTTTTTTTTAGATTACAATTCCTTAATAGTCTACTGGGGGCTCAGAACACTTCCATTGTTCCATGATTCTATTGTTTTAAGTTAATGTTTATTTTAAATTTATAATGTTAAATTTGAAGTCCAAATTAAAAAATGAAATTTTTTTATTTTATAAAAATCGAGTATTTTCTTTAAATATAAATAGACATTTAGACATTTAGTCCGTGAAAATTTAGTAACAAAATCGCTATATATTTCCATTTAAATACTTGTTTTCAAAAGGTTGATGTATTTAAAAATAAAAATAAAATTAGGATTCATTCACTTAAAAAAATATTAATTATAAATAATGATGATTGTTTTTATCTTAGAACTATTAAGAACATAGCTTTATTGAAGTCATTTTTAAGAAATGTTTTTTGTCCTTTTCTTCAAATACATTTGGTAAAACTAAATAAAATAACATCATAGGTTTATTTTTATATTACTACAAAAGCATGAGATGGTCCAGGATGGCATTCAAAAATGAACTTCATATATTATAAATTATTTCTTATATTACACACTACTTAAAGTTATTTTTTAACATCCACCATGCTCCATATTTTTCCTCATAATAAACGTGATCAACTAATAAATATCCAATATTTATTATCAAATCATAGGTACTAAATACGTAAATCTCTAAAAAAAACAAAGAAATATATATCGAAATCTGAATTAATGTTCGTTGTAAGTATCATCATTAGCTTCCCATTAACCAGACTTATTTCAATAAATAATATAATTTTATAATTGCTTTTCTCCCCAACAATTAATTTTTAAAATTGCCATCTCGGTTATGCTAGAAAATATTTAGTTATTTGTTGATATTAATTAAAGAAATTTCTTTTGTAACAACTATTAATAATTTTTCTTTGTTTATGACTTTTTTTTAATTAGATATTCTTAAAACTAATAAAAACAATACGATCCATTTAGAGACATCAAATGATATAAAATTCAGATAAATCATATGAGGTTCTATGTTTATTCATTATAGGTTCAACCACATGTTTGCTTTGATTTTTTTTAACCAATTTTTTTAAGTTCTTCCTCTTTTTTTTTTTAATTTGCACCCCAATTGAATGTCTAATCTTTCTGGTAAAAATTATCTATATTTATTTTTTCCATTTAAAATCCAACAGCTTCGAAACATTAGGACAAAATTGTCATACCCTCATTGAATAGATTGCTGCCTTTAAAGAAAAGAAGTCCATACACTTTCGAACAGTTTGTGAGAAAGATTGGCACAGTCAACCGGTCTGTGAGAAAGGTTGGCTCTTCGTAGAATAATATTTAAAATATGGCAATCAAAAGCATTATATGAGAAAAACAAACTTTAACGATATTTTTGAAATTCACTGACAAACATTGAACATATAAAATTGAACTTCCACTACATTCACTATATTTATGTCTCCTACTGACTACCAATTTTTTTATAAAGCTTTGACCCATTTATAAAAACAAAATATTTCAAAATGAAAAGAAACAAATTTTTATTTCTTCAGTTTGTTATCTAAAAACCAAATAGTTCCTTAGAATAAGATATTACGACACCATATGAACCTCCGATGGAATAAATTTATGAAAATAACTCTAATTAATAAGGGAAAAAATTAAATTTCTTTAATAACTTATATTTTTATTTTAAGAATTACATCTAAATTTAATATTTAAAATTAAATATTTCAATTGATTAATGAGTAAAATAGTCTATATATTACCCAAATACCTACTGCACTTATAGTTTTTATTTCTACTTACTTTTATGATAAATCAACTTTAGCATTGAGTTCAGAGTCGGGTCGTAGAATTACTCACACTGATTCATATATAAATTGGTGTGACGGACCAGTGTGAAGGTATCAAGGGTTGTATATTGAACCTTATGCCTGTCTATGGACTGGTCCAACTTCCCCACATACATTCGAGCTTGTATGAAGGCTGTCAGCTTATGCACCAGTTCGAACCCGTTCGAAAGTGTATGGTAATACTGATGTATTATTGAAACTGTATGTTGCTTTCAAGTGAATTAAACAACAGTTTAAACTGGAATAAAAGGTGTCAAGTAAGGTGGTAGGGGGTGGTGGAGAGAATGATAGAATGATCCATGTCAATTTCTAGGCCTCATAGCAAAAGAAGTTGTGGGGCTCATTTGTGTAATTTGTTAACTTCATAGTCCCAAAGCGATTTGTTTACATAAACATGTCATATTTATAATTGTTTGCTTAAGTGTGTGGCTATCAGTCGATAGAAATATAAAAAAAAAAAAAAAAAGACTCATATTTTGCTATTTTTAATTATATTTCTTATATTTACTCTATTTTGTTAATTAACTACCTAGTTTAATTACTAAAATAATTAATTATAGCTAATTTTAGAGGATTATGGTTCAAACATATATATATGTTTACATAATGTATATTAATACTCATTCTAGTTGCCATATTAATGCAAGTAATAGTAACTCTTGTTTATTTAGTGCCATATAATATCTTGTAGACTAGATGCATAATCAAAAATAATAAAAAAGATACATAAAAAAGAATTTATTTTTAAACCTTTTTTCTTATTTTAAGTCCTTAGCCTTTTAATGTGATAAGTTCAGATATGATAATTGAAAAAAAATAAGTTTTTAAGATTACTTTTAATTTCTATATTTTAAAATCCATTGAATCAAATCATACTATTTAAAAAAAAAAATATTGTATTGTTATTGTTGTACCCTACTTTGAAGACTGATTGCTGAACTTTTTTAAAGGAATTTTTAGAGCATGTCACTATGTCTCGATATTAGGTTAGTTCGTAGTCAGACAGAACAGCAGAATTACATCTATTTTAAGTTCATCAAAACTTTAAACGTAAGCTTCTGTGTACAAATGAATTGATATTTTTGGATTCATTGCCAAGATATTTTAAAAAATCCATCTATAATGTATCATTCACAGTTTTAATCTCTAAACTCACATTTTACATTTAGAAGACTTTAAATTGATATGAAATATGGAATCATGCTTTAGTGATTTAATCACCAGAAATGTATTTCCTATATATAGTTCCGTAGTAGAGATCCCTTTTTCAGCTCATCGAAGCAATGGGTTTCGATAGACAAGATGTTAAAAGAAAAGGAATTTCATTTCGATTCTTAAATTCTCACTACAAATTTAATAAAAGTGATTAAAAAATATATGTGGAATCAATATTTCAACTTTGGTGCGACAGTAGATTGAGACGTGAGACATTGGATTCACAAAGATTTCATAGCCGACAACAAACATAGTGAGGATATTTTGTCAAAAAGTAATTACAATTCTAATACATTAAACAATTATAATTTCATATAATTACTCTCTTATCTTAATTAATGAGATATTTGCTCGTCCTTACTTTCATTAAATTTTCATTTATTTCATATTTTTGTGTTCATACGATAAGACATAAAATTCCAATAGAAAAATAAAATTGACCAATAACAAAATCGTGCAGAACCTGAGCCTGTTTGATGGTAATGGAAATATCTATTGAAAAAATAAACAAATGAGAATAGCCCTCAGAGCTGCTTCAGATAACTTTTTTATACTTTTAATGCAATTCTTGTCCATGTCTATCTTATACGTTTCAACCTAAGTGAGTGATCAACAAACCAAGGTTCCTGCTCCTATATATAATATAAAAGTCTCAGCTAAATGAGTAATCTCAGCTGATGAAAATCAGAGAATGCCATGTTCAGACTGGAGGGCACATTGAAAGTTTTTGGTAAAAATACATTATTACCAAGTATTAAATTACAGTATAAATAATATTATTAAATTTAATTCATTTGTTCACACCCACATTAAATATTTTATTTTAAATATTTCTTATAATAAAAGATAAATTTTGGAAATCCTTTGATTAAAATATATTTCAGCTGGTCACTGGACAAAAGAAATAAAAGGTTTTTAATAATTTGTGTTGTAATGTTTTTGATAGCTAAAAAGATGGGTACTTTGAGGAAGGAGACAAAATTTCACATCAAATTATAATTTTTTTTTCGTACAAAAGTGGAAGCGGACTGCATATTAAATTTTGTTTTACTCACCCCTCAGAATTTTTTTTAGAAATTCATTGCCTTCTACTCATCATATTTTATTTTAAATCAGATGTTTCCATCATTTTTATTTTTCAAACTTAAAACATTCTGAATTCTGAAATCACCGATTACTTTCAAACGTTTATGAAAAAAATAAATAGACATTTCTCTCTGATTTAGGACAAATTGTTTACTTTAAAATAGTGCACCTCAAATCGCCTTTGAAATATTCAGAAAAATGTAGAAACAAGTTAATTCACAAAATCTTCAAGATTGTCCTTCATAAAAGAGTTTGAGATGCCTATTGTTGACTACTTTATATTTTTATTAATTAAGTATAAAAGTTGAAAACTTCTCAATACTCTTAGTTCATGGTAAGTCGGTACACTTTTCATAAGGATTCCAAGTCACAAAGATATTGTGGATAACAAATGCATGTCAGAAAAACTTATCCCTGACTGAAGTAATACTGTCTTATCCCCATTATAGCTCGGTGACCATTTAAAATTGAAGTATCATACTGAAGGCTGTCCAGCTCTTCCTCAATATATTTAAATAATAGTAAAAAAAAAGAAATTATCTATGTCCTTTGCAATAGCCTTAGGGAAAAAGTTGTCTTGAATTGCTTGCAAATAGGACACTAGTATTCCTCATCAAGCCACTATTCTGACACCATTCTTTTGGTTAAACATATTTTTGAGGAATTCAAACAACATATAAGTTTGAATAGCATAGAAATGACCCCTCTCCCCCTCCCCCCCCCACGAGTATATCTATCTAAGGCTCTTGGTGACATGGATGATTCAATCTAATCAATGTTTTTAAAACACATTGCCTCTTTTCAAAACTAGAAAATTCTTCCTGAATATTTCCAGATAGCAAGCATTATTATTTCTTTACTTTTTAATTATATATTCTTATTCTACCTATTTTTTGGTTAATTTATTAAAACTTTTCTTCTTATATTATTTAATGTTTATATTTTTCTCAAGGAAGACTATGTGTTATTGCAGGTATAAAGTATGGAAACTTTTCTCTTCCATGTGTACCAATTTATTCATGTTTCTAACATTTCAGACTCTTTGTCCATCCCTAGAGACACCTCCTTTTCACTGTTAGAACATCATACATTAATATTTGTTACAATTTTTTCTATATCTGTACATATTTGCTTAAAATATATTTACGATTAATTTTTATTTTACCTTTGCATGTTATTAACATTTGTCTTCTTTTTTTTTCCTTGTTCTATTTGACAATTATATACCAACTTAGTCAATTTTCATTATCATACTGCTGATTATTTAAGTGGACTTCCTCTAATTTCTCTATTTCTATCACCCCTCTCTCTCTCTCTTATGTTAGTTTGTTTGGTTCTTCTCCTGACTATTATTTTTTTCATATTTTTAAATTTATTTATAATTTGAGCATAGTCGTTATTTATAATTTTTGTATTATTAAAATAAAAAAATCTACATAACTAGACCAATGTCCACTTAAATAATCAGCAGTGTGATAAGGAAAAAAAAGGACAAATGTTAATAACATGCAGAAGGTAAAATAAAAATTAATTGTAAATACATTTTAAACAAATATGTATTGGTATAGAAAAAATTGTAAAAAATATTATTAATGTATGATGTTCTAAAAGTGAAAAGGAAGTGTCTTTGAGGATCAATCGGACAAAGAGTCCGAAACATTAGATACATGAATCAATTGGTATACCTGGAAGAGAAAAGTTTCCATGCTTTATACCAATATTAAAACTTTTAATTTTTAAAAAGTTATATTTTTTAAACATTAAGTATTAGTACATAAATGAAATTACATGAACAATTTTAGTCTGAGTTATGTTTCTGTTGGTTTTGACAAGCTCATTATGAAATTTCTTATTTTAATTTTTTTTTTATAACATATTTAGTTTTTAAAAAATTATTTTTTTTCAATAAGTTATTATTTATTAACATGCTTAATTTAGTTAGAACAATTTTATGTTTAATTAATTTCACTTTTAATGCTTTTTTAATAATTAATAAAATATTTTTTTTTAAATACAATAAAAAAATATTTTGGCTGTTTTATTGCAAATTATTGTGTTTTTACAGCTCCGAAATACGGTCTTAGTTGGCAAACTATTAAAATCTAAGTATTTAATCCTAGCACAAAGTATAATCATTTTTCTGACAAAATAAATAAGCTATTGTACTGCATAAATGTTATGTAAGATTGTGGGCCTAAGATTATAATGTTGACTTTCGGCCAAGAGTGCCTATATCCGTACCTTAATACCCCTCCTCTTTAAAAACAAATACCTCATCTATTCAGTTTATAAAACTGCACAATTCTGTTGGCAGATGTTTCCTGCTCCTTCTGCTCGTTGCTGCTGTTCTCTGGAAGATCAAACAAAAGTACGACATGTATCGCAGGAGACAGGTAAACTATTTCAGAATCTTTTTTTTTACTCATAGCTGTAAATGTGACTGATGAATTCATCAATCAGATGAATCATGAATTTATGAAACTTTCTATATTTTTTGCTTTTATTTTGGAACTGTTTAGGCTCTTCAAAACCTTAAGTAATTTTTTTCCCACACTAAGTTTTTATCTAAATATTTTAAAACTGATTGTTATAAAATTCAATTTGATTAAAAAACTTGATTAAATACTAATTTTATATTTAGTATAATAGGTCTCTATTGAAATATGTTGTATTTTTTTAAATTTTATTTTTAGATTAACATAGTTATCTTTAAAATAAAGAACCCGTACCACTACAACTCGTAGAGGGTCTTGATTTCAGTGCTATTTAGGAAAAGCACTGTTTCTTGGGCAAAGATTGTGCAAAGAGGTGATTTGAACAATATCATGCTCAACCGCCAGGTTTTCTCCCATAATTAATTATTTAATTATGAATATACACATTGTAGAGGCTGCATGTGCCTCAGGAGAATTTCCACGACTCCAGGGTTGATTTAGGGCTGATGAAACAAAATAAATAATTTTTCTTCCATAAGCCAGGATTCGAACCTGGCAGCTTGAGCGTTGGATGCACTGTGACCTATTTCTGTGCTACCCCACTTCCTTAAATAGTGAAAGCAAAGTGTCGAATAAAAATACATATTTATTAATGGTTAAAAAGATAATATGGAGCACTTTTTAAGAACTAATATATCATAGTATTACAAAGTTAAAATTAATAACAAATAAAAATAGCAACAGGTAAGTGTATATAAAAATGATAACTAATTTATAATATTAGAAAAAAATTCAAAAAAATTAGTATGAAAATAGTTTAAACACAAATTAACACATAATTAAAAACGTAATCTGAGATGCATATTACATATAAAAATAATATAATTGAAAACAGGGAATAAAATGCCTATGGATTAAGAATCAGTAATAGACCTTATCTGATCTAAATTAATAAATAAATTTCTGTAAACCTAATCTAATCTTATATTGTTTGAAACAACTTTATAATAAGGAAATGATCTTTCTTTTATACAACAGATGTGATAGGAGAAAATTAGTATCCACTTGAAATTATTTACTTGTATTCTATAACTTGTTTTGAACAATATAAGCACAAAATAACATTATTTTATTGTTATATGTTGATTGAAAACATCCTACAATTGTATTATGAAATTTCATCTCCAATGCTTTTTATTCAATTTATAATAATAATTCATTATTTCTAAGTATTATTATTATTTATTTGAAACAATTAAAATATGCAATTTAAAATTTGACTAATTGCATCTGAGAACACTGCTTTGTATAGATGTTTGATCACGAGTTTAAAAACTACATGCAAACAAAACAATGCAATGCATAAAAATCCGGGCTTTGATGATAACTTTTATAATTTCTCAAAATAACTTGTCAATGATTTATTATGCAACGCTTCTTACAAGTTTATCTTAGTATTCATTTGGCCTATGATTTCAGAGGCTATTCGTTGAAATGGAACAAATGGCAAGTAGGCCATTCTCTCAGGTTTTGGTGGAGATTGAAAAGAGAGATTCTACAACTCCTACTACCAACTCTAAAAAGAAAGTAAGTTATCAATTAATATATAAAATGTCACGAATTTTCAATTTTTATTAATCAATGAAGATTAGATTATAGCAATAAAAATATAAAAACTCTTGAATTTTTCTGATGCATATTTGTAAAGATTATCAGTATATGAAAATTGATGGGGATGTCTCTAAATAATATCTATTTGATTTCATGAGTGCATGTTTATAAAGGTAAGACTAAGATATGTTTGATAGCATATTTCTGATACACGCTGTTACTTCAAGTTTTTGTTCAAATATGAACATTTTCTTATTAAGTCCAATCTTAATATTTTATGAGTTCTCTGTCACATAAATTCTATTGCATCTCAATGTTATACCATATTTAACCATGCAAGTATTAAATTGTGAAATAAAACATTCTATGAATCTGTACATGTATTGTTTGCTAACATTTCAGCAATACTGCATTAGCTAACCCATTCCATGCTCATCATTATAAGGATACCAAAGATTAAGTTGAAGTTTGGAAAAAAAAAAATATTTTTTTGGTTCCTTACAGTATAATTTTAATCAGTTAATAAGATCATTGTATTCCAGATAAATCATTGATCAGCTCTATAAAACTGTTTAGTGTTTTTCTTTTCTTTTAACTGTTTTAAGAACATGTTTTTTAAACTAAAAATATATTGTCAAGATAAATTAAGTTGGTTACACATTTATTGTTATGTATCCATCAACAACTATAAATCTACTATTGCATATAACACAAAACAAAATAGTAAGGCAATCGAACTAACCAGATATTTTTTCATTTTTAGCAGGAATGCCCCAGCCCTATTGCGTTGGAACCGTGTTCAGGGAATCGTGCGGCTGTTCTTTCTCTGTTGGTGCGTCTTCCAACTGGAGGAGCTCCCTATACCCCGTATGGGCAATCAGGTATTATATTTTTCTTAAATTTAATTAATTTTCATGAAATACCATTAATTTTATTATTTTAAAATTATCGATTAACATTTATAGTTTCCTATTTCACGTTATAAATCTATTATGTCTGATGATTGTTTAGAAATGAAATATACATTCATTTGTAAAAAAACATGTAACTTAACTCCTTGGCTACCTATACAAGTCATTCAGAGATTGGAAATAATGATTGTAAATTTTACTAAAACAAATTATAATTATAAAAATAAAATGGTTGGCTATAATTGATGCTTAATGGTTAATATTAACCATTAGGTGTTGACATTATAAGTTTTAAAAATATATATCAACAATCTTATGCATTTTTATGATGATTATAATTATTAGTGATGTTATAATCTTTATACTTATTATGATATTAAAATCATGAAATTATTTTTTTTTAGAAAATATTTGTAACTGTGTTATAACAATGAAACCTTTTGAACTCCCAATCCCTTTATTGTGAATAGGGAATCAAGCACCAATTAGCTTATGACATAAAACCGAGGTTTACTGGTACCACTCTTATCATTTGGAATCACCAAAACACTTTTACATAATTGACCAGACTATCTTAATGATAGATAAAAATAAAAAATTGACTGCTTTTACAGAGATATTGGTGGATCCATAAGTTTGTTCGGTTTTTGAAGGGTGAAATAAAACAAGTTTTTTTCATACAAAGGATAAATTTTATTCAATAGTATATTTGCCATTTTCATTAATGACTTCTTGCCATCTTTCTAACAATATCATTATTCGGCTACCGTAAAACATTTGGGGCTTAGAAGTGAAAAAATGATCAAGATACGTTTCCATATCTCTCACATCAGCGAGCGATTTACCGTTGTGGGAATTTTGGAGCGACTGGAATAAGTGGTAGTCAGATGAGCAAAGTCCAGAGAATACGGTGGGTGTAATGAAACATCCCAGCCAAGTTGTACCAAATTTTGCTGTGTGATTATTGCGGAGTGTGGTCTGGTGTTGTCAAGGTGGAATACATCACCTTTGTGATTGACTAGTTGTGGGCGTTTCTGTCACAATGTTTAGTCAAAGTTTGTTAGCTGCGTGCAGTGCAGTAGATCTTCAAATCAATCGTTTTCCCTTGTGGAAGCAACTCATAAAACAGTACGTTGCAATAATCCCATGATATGGAGAGCAAAATCTTTTTTAGATGTATTAGATGGCTCATCAGCAGTTGTTCATGATCTCCTGTACACTACATGGTCGTAGATGATTCTCTTTTCCTCACCCTTCACTATTCGTTTGGGAAATGGGTCTCTTTCGTGCCAGTGCAGATGAGAGTTGCAGATTGATATTTAGTTGGCCAGGGTTGCCTCAGTCAGTTCGTGTAGTGTCCAAACATCGATGTGGGAAATGTAGCCTAGCTGTTTTGAATGAATGTCTTTTAACGGTTCCAAAACCTATTTTCAGTGTCCCCACAATTTTTCGTACCATTAGCTACCGATCTTGTTCGATTAGAGCCTTGATGTCACTTGAATCAACCTCGGTGGGCCGACCGCTGCAAGGTGCATCTTTGAGACTCCTATCTCCAAAACGATACTTGGAAAACCATTTTTGAGCGTACGTTGTGTTAAGCCATTGCCTGCATATCTTACATATCTTTCGGTGGGCTATCAAAGCTCGCTTGCCTTTTTTGAACTAAAAAAGCAAAATATGCTGAAAATGCACTTTATCTTTTGACACTTCCCTGTAGCACCAACATAAGTAATACTAATGAAACCAAATGCAATAGTTTCGAAGAGCAAACTATGATCTTTTCGATAAGTATCATTATTGTCAGATAAGGCAAAGAGAACTGGAGATATTTGAAAACAATACTAACAAAAACCAAACGAACTTATGGATCCACCCAATAGATATAAGTTGTAGGGTGGTAATTTGCGAAAGACAGACTATGTTGTTGTAAAAAGTGAAATAGTAAAAATATTTCTCAATCATGTGATAACAGTGAATGTGAAGTCATCACTAGGTGTTTATTTTTTAGTTAAAAAGAAGTAATTTATAATTATGTTTATTGATAACATTAATTTAGCCTGTTCCTTTTTTATATTTAATTAACACAATTATTATGACAAACCTATTCAATTCAATTAAGTGACTAATAACCACTTAATAGTCAGGGTATTTGATAGTGTAACCATCAAACAAAAACCAAAACGTAGAATTACAAGAACTAATATCAATTTCTTCGTGTTGCTTAGCTGGTCTTGCGATCGCCTCTGCCCTGGTGACTCTTGGCAATCCAAGGAAAGTGAGTATAGAAGCAGTAACAAAGAACGATGGAAAGTCAAAGAGCAGGAAAACTGTGTCGAGCCAACATCCTGACTCCTGTATATAATCAGCCAGTGTAAATAGTCATAATTGCCTACAGGCTTGGTACTTTTTGACTCCTCTTGTCGCTGTCCGAGTCTCTAAGGCTCAGGTTGTCTGTCCAGAGGTTGTTTGCCAGACAGAGTCTAGACAATATTTATTTTTACAGGATTGATTACTTGTGGAACATTATCAAAAGGATAAAATGACAAAATAGGCCTAATAAAGAGTTAGCTTGCCGACTTTTGAGGTAGGAGTCTTTTTGTTTTATCTAAAGGATTAATTGAAAGGAATGTGCTCAGAGGTGTTTAGAGAACAATGTTTTTTTTCTTCCCATGTTGGAGTTTAGTTAATTAATTATTTTGCTGAATGTTTTCAGTTGACTTGAATAGATAAAGGCGTTTTACATGTTTTGTGAGCTTTAAGTTTCAGTAAGGTTTTTTTTAAACGTTATGTAGAAAAAATAATTTGAACCAGTGAACTATAATTTATATTCTTAGCTCTGAGATCAATCATATCTTTGAAAAATCAATTATTAAAATTTCTATCAGAGGTACTTTGCTAAAAAGGGGATAAACTCCATACCATATAATATAAGATACTATATTATGAAAATACTATATGGTATGTTATCACTAATTTGACAGGGATTAAAAGTTAATGCAAATTCTGAATGATTGAAAGGTTAATCATGGAAATATATTTGAAAAATGTAGGTAATGCACATAATACTTTCAAAACTTCATATTAGACTTGCTGGCTGATCCATTTTATGTTGTTCAAATTTTCCGATCATTATGAAGTTGGTTTTTAAAATTAAATTGACGTTAGAAAAACAAGATCATTTTTGAGTTACTGTTTTTTTCAAGAATAAATGAAGAAAATAATCCATAAAAAATAACAGGGAATAAAAAACGCTTGTATTAATATGTTTTTGCGTTTATTATGTTGACTGATTATAACTTTAAATATAACCTGAGAATCATCAGTTTTATTGATTTTGATACATAATTTTGGTAAGCACCAAGGGAGAAGCCCCTGTTTTTTTTTTTCACATATGTAATGATGTTTATTTATTAATCACTTTGAATGATCACATGGTATGCTGTCCATTGTTAATTTGTTTTTGTTCTCCTCCTATACTTTCAAGCTTCATGTGTAAGAATACTGTTGGGTTATTATTTTGTTTTTTCTCAGGTTTATCATCTTTAGGGCCTTTAATTGCTAGTCATAAAGAATTATTAGAGGGATTTATTATGTTTTTCACTGCCATTTGTCTTCACTGTCTTTGAAGTAATACACATTGACCATCTGGTGGTTAAAATATTAAGTAATGATATTTTTATCCTGAATAACAAGTTAAATTTTTCTACAAAAGGCTTAGTACTCGTTATGAATTTCAATTTAAGTTCTTCCTAGTTGTTCTCTGCCTTGACGATGACATTCCAATTAGGACATAGCTCTCGATGTACCAGTCTAACTCTCCTTGGCAAGTCCAAGGATTCATGTGATAATAACAGTTAAGTAGTTGTATATATAGTTGTATATTATATAACTATATATTATATAGTTATAGTTAAGGGCCGGTTTATTGGTTAGCCGCAGTTGGCAAGACGAGTGGCTCGGAGGATATATGCCTGTATGTGAGGGTCCTATTTCTTCCATGAAGTTTATGTTATCGACCCCACATGCCCATGCCATGAATGTTTTCATATCTTTCTTGCCATCTCTAAATGTCAGTACATTATAGAAAATAATTAGGAATAGTTGAATTGCTCTTTTTAAATTTTAAGATGTTTTTATTATGATTAATAATTAACTTTAGGATATAATGCAGTTTTCAGAATTTATCTTGTGTTCGAATGATTTTATAAAAAACAATTGTTAATAAATGAGTACAATATATATTATTGTTACAGTAAGTTCTCTCATATCCCAGAGCACTGTTGGAACTATGTATCACAGGATAAATGAAAATTGTATATTAACAAAATTAAAATTATTCAGAGAAATTATATCAATAAAAAGTAAAAACTAGTATTTTTACCCAAGCACGTTAAAATAATAAAGCACACTTTATTGACAAATTTTAATCAATTAAAAAATATCAAACATTATTTAAAGTTAGTCCATATTTTTCAATGATTTAGCAATTAGCTCTAAATTGGATAAGAGAGGATTTACTGTGTTATTATTATTTTATTTTATTTTTTATCAACCAAGTAAGCTGTTTATATTTATTATTTTTTAATTTTTATTTTGATTGTTAATTTTGATTGTTGGTTTATTTTCGATTGTTTTGTTTTGTACTCAAAATTCTGTATTTATGAATTTTCTTTTTTCACAAAAGAGCTTATATAGTCAGATAACCCCTAAAAGCTAAGTGTTATTATTATGTATAGTTAGATTATTTTTTTTTTAGACGATTTCATGAAATATGCCATATTGGTTTCATTATTTTAACTATCCTAATGATTAAGTTGTAAAAAAAAAAAAATTGTAAAAGATATTGTAAAGAAGGAAAAAGACAATGATGTTTTGGAATGTTGAAAAATTGATTCTTTGAATTAAATTGAATATAGGTAACATTTTTATATGATTGGGAAAAAAAAGGTAAAAAAAAAATTAAAAACTGTAATCGTCCAGTTATTCGAATGACTTTTTCACTTCATCAGTTGTTAGATATGTATTTATTTAAATAGATATTATTTAAAATAAATGTGTATATATTAGTGGTAATTCAATAAAAATAACAGAAACAATTATATCCCATAGGAGAGAATAATTAAGATTAAAAAAGAAATATACATATATGTGTAATTAAAAAAAAATAAATCTTTAAGGAGTGTTTTGAAATGGTTTGAAGTGTGAACATTCCATAGAGACAGAATGACTTCTAGTCATGAACGACGTGTGCGTGGTCACGACTGAATGATTGAGGGTAAAGGACCACGCGCACGCAAACCAGGCCCTCTCTTCAGACCTACCCTCCCCAAAGGGTTTTTAATGTATCCATTTATATTTATTTGTATTATATTTATTTATTTTGAGTTAGGTTTTGGGCCACTACCATCTGACACACTTGTAAATATATATTTAGACTGTTTTCTCTTTTATATAAATTTCATATATATGTATATGAATATACCTATATTTATTGATATGATTAAAATACACTAATAGTAAAATTTTTATATGTTTTTTAAAATTATTTATGAATTGTATTTTAAATTGCTGTTTTTAAGGAATGCACTAACAGTTTAGTGCATGCTGTGCTCATTTTAATAGGTATTGAACTTTTATTTAGTTCCTGATATGTATTGCTGCTTTGTCCTCTTTAAGCCGAAGATTTTTTCCTTTTTTTTATTAGTACATATGTAAATAATTATTATTTATTAATTTTTAGTATAAGCTCCCATGTGCATATTTTTTTAATTAACTGTTTTTGTTGTTAATTATGCTCATCGATAAACTGATTGTAGATAATGAATTCTGAATAAGACAGAAAACTATTTCTAATAGAATTATTTTTACTGGTTTAGGCAACCATACTGAATTGTCTTGCATTCAAAGTCTTTTCTTTTAATTGCAATATCCCATATCCTTATCTAATAAATACCATAAAATTATTTGTAACAACTTATAATAACAGTTTCTTTGTATAGATGTATAGACACAAATGTTTTTTTGTTATAGTTTTATTATGGTCATTGTATCAAAAAATACAATCAGTATAACATTTTTAAAATGAAGAAGTTTTTATTACTATTTATTATCCCATGTCCATATTGTTTCAATAATCTCTAAAATATTGTCATTTTTTGTCTGAAATAATTTGTAATGACAAGAGGCTGAATTTTGATAAAGTAAAATATACATTACAAAATTTTTAACGACATGTAATGAAAGAGTCTAACTATGCAATAATTTTTTATAGATATTATTGATTTATTATTTTTTATATTATTTATTAAAAAAAAAAAACTTGATTGCCCGATGAACTATAATTCTACACAAAAACTATAAACAATTATAATAAATATGCAGTAGTGAGTTGGTAAGATAAGAAAAAAATGCAAACGAAATTAGTCATTTGTCTTACATGTTAATAATTATTAAATACATTTTTTAAAATAATTTCTAACAATAAATATTTTCCAACTATGGAAAGTAAAAAATTAATCAGATTTTAATAAACAAATTGCAATAAAAATATTCTTAGATACATAAAAATAATCTCAACCTACATGATGCAAAATCCTGTAAGAATTGTAAAGAAAAACTAAAAACATTCATAATACGGGGAGAAAAAATGCATTTTTTGTACAATTTTTATTGCAATGTTTAAGACAAAGATGCTATGTTTTAAATAATGTTTTTTGTTTGTTGGATTATGGTTTAGGCTCAGATTGACCAGAAATGAATAGAGTCGCACTTTCCTATAAAATTGTTCTTACAGACTATTGCTGTGTGTATTCATATACTGCATAAAAGCATTTGAAATAAAAAACTTTATTACTATTTTAAAGAAGTTTCAATATTTTTTTTGTAAGTTTCAACTGCTTTTTGTTTATCTATCAAATATAGCAGGTGTGCAAAACAGAAATTACACATTCAGATAAGGATCAATTTTTAAACAAGAATCAATAGAAAGTTGAAGTGGGGAGTTCTTTACCAGTTCTAAGAATTTACCATTTTGGTAATTTTTACCAAATAGATAAGAATCACACAACCTATCATGACTTCCTACTAAAGCAAATAAAATAAAATTTATTGGCATTATTGAATACAGACACCAGATACCAATTAGATTAGTTTAGGTGTCACCATGGAATCAGCAGAAATAAATGATGATAGATTATGATCTTAATCAGCGAAGAAATTAAAAAAAATTAAAATAATCCTTTATTAAATATCAATGACCACACACTAGCTGACCTATGTGTCATGATTTATTTATTTTTATTATTTTAATTGAAATTATTATAAACTAATAATTCTGTTCTTTAAAATTGATATTATGCTTAT